CAACTGCACCGAAGTAATCAGCACATAAGTATCACGCTCATGTGCATCCCGATTCAAATGATGCTGCAAGAAAAGGCCCCATTCACGTTGATTAGCAGATGGTTTCGAACCAGCCACAATGTTGCTCGTGGTCAGATCCACAATCTCTTCAAATCCGATGGCAAACATGTCGATGGGGCGATTTAATTGGTCTCCGTCGTATGTCGGATTTCTGTAGCCCCAATTCGCCTCCGGATTGATAGTTTTGGCTAAGTCCAAAAGCCAGTCCGTGACTGATTCATGTTTGTGAGCCACACTGCGAAAATGCTTGCCTCCGTTGACATTCCAGGTGCCAACAAACACACGCAGTTTGTGCTTTTGCGTAAATTCTTCGTGAGAATGCATAATGTTACTTAATAATGTCGGAGGAAGATGTAGCAGTCTTCGAGGCAGATATTGTTCTGTGAATACCCAGAGAAATAGATGTAAAGGGATTTGATTGCACAATTCAGTATTTTACATAGAGATTATGGTGTTTATTTAGTTGGAATGGTGAAGGATAACGCGAAGTAAATTTGTGGTAAGATCGAATCACAAAAGGGGAAGGCCGTCACTAGTGAAAAGGAACTAATCTTGTTGTTGTGGGAGAGTAATGGAGGGTTTCATTCCATTATCCACGGTTTTTCGTTGAGTACGGAAAAAATGGAGTATCAAGTGAAAAGTTAGAAAGCGCTGGATAGCGGATCCAACCTGTTTGGGACAAAGTGAAAACATCCGTTCAACTAAGGACTGAACTCCGGACATTTCATTTACAAAACAAACATAATACAGAGTCACGTGGATCCAAAAATTAACGAGCAGTGAAAGCTTGTGTCAATTTCTGACGCAGCCCACAGCTTTATGTCATCTATTACAGTAAAAACCGCTTCCATTTATGTTTGAACCGGTTAGCTAATTAATACGAGGGTAAATAAGGGCAAACAGCGTTGTATAAGAAGTAGGAATTGAGGCGCGATTGTCTCCAAATAAGAAAGTCACAGTGAGATATCTTGTTTAGAATAGAAACGGAAAAATTCAGTGCAACTACTACATTTCATTTCAGCAATGCTACCATTGATCGAAATACTCTATCACAGGGATTAAGAACGATGTCGAAGGGATCGGAGGAATCAAAAGAAAACAGGAGTACACACATTGTTGTGAATGAAAAAAAAACGGCACCTGATTTGGACGCAAAACGCTTTGTCTACTTCAGGTGGTCACGGACTCAAGAATTACAATCAGAGTGTAAATGGAAAATAAAAAAACGGCTTGATCAGCTGCCCGGTGGCCAAGTGGGTAGAATGCTTGCATTCTACCTGTGAGGTCCGGGGTTCGATCCCTAGTTGGGTCGATGGATTCGCACTGCTGATGAGACCCAACCAGGTCGAAACAGCTTCCAGTGCTTCCTAGCTCTTCAGTTCATGCTTAATTTGCCATACACACGACGAATTTCCCCTTTGAAATTACAATCACATTGAAAATCGTTTGTGGAGGCAAACTGGTTAATTTTTCACCGCTCTCTCTCTCTCTCTGTCTATCTGTTCACTTTCAGGCAAGCCATTCAACGAAAAGACTGGTTAGATCACGTATTATCAGGTAGCACTTTTGCGGGAAAGATATTCGGGTGATCAATCTTCAGTGAACAACCAAACGTTCGGACAACTAATCAACAATTGATATTTGACTTATCTTTAATGATAATAATCATAATAACGTTACATAAGTGCTGATTGCAATCAGGGTTGGACGAAAACAAGAATGAACAAACTCGTTTATCATGAATTGGAAAACGTCACCCAAAAAATTTGAGGAGCAGCTTTGAACGCTATTGTTATTGGACCAATTGGTAAGAAGTAGCAAGAACCGAGAGACCTACAATGCATTTAGATATTAACGCGGCGACAAATATGAAATATGGAACAACATAAATTTGCTATTTAAGAAGAGTTGTACCTATTTCGTTTATGGTTATGAAATCATGCTCTGCTGGGACGCCAGTGATGGTAGAAAACATAGAACTAGAAAAACTGGAACTACAATTCTTTGTATGAAAAACGAACGCATAGAACCGTGCATAGAACCAACACGATTCGCCCAAGTGAAGCATTCAACAACGAGAACAGCCCATAGCCATAGAAGCACGTTTGGAGTGGTCACCTCAAGAAACATAACGATACACGCATTGCTAATGAGGGAGAGAAGGGTTACTGTACCTAAATCCTGATAAACTGTTTGCCGCAGAACTAACAATTTGAGCAAACCAAGGTCAAATGCTCAACATAAAAGTACTCGGTGCGCATAGATCACTAATCCTATTGACCTGAGAGCAACATACTTCGGGATCCTAGTCTAATCATTAGGAGTACACGGGGAAATATCAAATATCAAACGACGGGTGAACCCAATTTTCCTCTTTTTTTGTACTTTCTAGTTGAGGAGCAGGAAACCGGAGCATCTCGATAATCCTACAATCGATAAGTGTAGCTCACAGCGGTCGATTTGTTTTAGGGCAAATTGCGGAATACAACCGGTAGTTTTCTGTGGACAGAGTTACGTGAACGAAGAATACAACAAAACCGTTGGAAATTTGTTCGGCTGATGTTGATTTTATTTAGTGCAGATGAATACGAACCCGAAATCAAGTAGTTAATTATTATCATAATTGAAAATATTTATAATTTTGTACGGATGTATATGTACCCCTTTCAACATTTAGACAACAACGATAGTCCGAGGACTCACAGACATTCACTTCGCACAATCGCGCAACGAGCTATGGTTACTGTTTTTCTGGCATCTAGTTGGTCGAGCAATTAGGAAGAAAATAAAAATGAAGAGGCGAGGATCCGAATCATAAAGGAAGATACAAAAAGAAATTGAACTGAATGTGTGTAAAAAATGAATGTATAGGGCACCATTGTTTACGACATGAGGCCATACCACTATCTCTCCCGAGCGATCAGACCGATTTTTAGATCTTCAATCAAGAAGTGTAAACTCAAAAATTTACGATGTGGTCCTGGTGAATGATCAGACAACGGTCGACTTGCTTCCCGATCGAGTGCTAGCGAGTGATGAGACCAAGATAAGATTTACGTTAAAAGAGATCAAGGGGGCTCAGAAGAAGCATAAAACGATTTCAATCAGTTTTACCAGCGTCATGCCAGGTTCGAGTTTGACCATCCAAAAGCTTCTTCCTTCACCAATTACCTGCCGCAGTAAACATTGTTGCCGCAACGATTATATCTCTGCACCAAACTACAAAACTAGGCAAAAAACTGCAACTCACACCGGATTCACGGACGGGAAAAGAAAGCGAACTTCTATGGTCAACACATAGAGAGCACAGTTCAGCTGTGCATATACATTACTTCAAGCATTGTGGTCTGATAAGGAATGACAACATGATCGCCACCGGTGTCGGTGTGTCTCCATCATCCAGTTACGAACTCTTTCGGACCCCAACCCGGAAGACGGGAGACGCCTACTCTACCTAATCGCTCTGTGCATTTATTCATGCCTCGTCTCCACGTGGCCTTCTCCAGTCTGCAGCGGCCACTGCAAATAAGGTGCATACATAAGCAAAATATGTCTTAACCAACGGAGTCCATTGGGCTAAATTCGATGCGATTGCGAGTTCTTCCTCGATAGATTCTCAAACACCCGATGACGTACTTCTAGGTTACGCCACTACTTTCACTAGTTCAAGCATCCTGGTCTGAAAAAACGTGACAGCAAGAACGCCATCGATGTCGGTTTTTTGTCACGTGCTTCAGCGTCTCTTACCATTCAGTTACTTAATCTTTCTGATCCCAGCATGGAAAACGAGAAACACCTATCCGACCTAATCGGTCTGTTCATTTCTTCATGCCTCGTCTGCACGTTATCTGTTGATCTCCACGTGGTTTAACGGTAAGCAAAATACAACTAACGTTTTTCCTTTATCCGATCGATCAACGCAGAAAAAAATGTATGTTCTGCATTTGATTTACTCTCGTCAATCGCTAAAACCAAACATGTCCCGGCTGGATAGCACTATGTCTTTCTTAGTCTTGTGACCCCCGGTATTTTTACACATGCTCAATGAGGTTTAAGTCGGATGGACGTGTTGGCAATAGAATCAACTCATCTGATTATATTTTGAATAGGTTTTTGATCAATTGCGGTGTTAAGATCACGTAGTGAATAGTTATTGATTTATAATGCCATTGGTGACAAAAGAACCTCTCAGAATAGAAAAAAAATAGTCACCAACACCACCACTTCCATTTGCAAGATAATCAGGTCACCTTTACCCCCATTGCATCATACAAACGTGTAAACAATCTCGTGCGATATGTGAGTGTGGCGTACTAACGATTTGCACCATTTTGTTTTTCCATCAGAATACTGTGAAATGGTTCGGCTCTAGTAGTATTAGCAGAATCACAAGCAAGCACACCCGGTTTTCATGTGATGATCGATTGGAAGAAGTTCATGTTTTGGCTGTCGGGATCTCAGTCATTCTTTATTTGATAGGTGACAAACTGTAAGCTAAAAATTGTATAATTTATGTGGTGATGGTCGGAATGAAAAAGGGTTTGTCTAGGTGGTTCTCAGAAAGATTCTGCTTATTCTGCTCCTCAATCCCAGGAATTTACGCATCTCAACGAGCGACATTATTTTTATTTAGGCATTAACCCCATATTTGTGTACTCTATTGATTTAAAAAGTATGGAGAATATTGACGGACCATTGGGCAACTTTAGGTGGGCATTTTTATGGGCCCGCTGTGCGCAGCCATCGAAAAACAATAAATGAACAGCATAGGCGTCAAGCCTCTTTCAGATGACCCGTAGGAGTTGAAAAGGAAAGAGAACGACGGCTAACGAATATAACGGTAAAACATACATACACCTGTCTTCTGTGCTAAAGCGTGAAGTTCAAATTCCGATGAATACGCACCACAGATGAGCCTCAATAAATACAAAGCTCCCGAGTGTATGGCCAATTCAATGAATTGTGAATTTTGCGAGATGAAGACGGTCGGTCGGTGAAGCCAAGAGAAACGGACAACTTTTCGAACATACCACCTATCAACCGATATGCGCATGACATTTACCGGGTGAACACGGTCACCCATAAGGCAGAGCAAGTTGTGATGGATTCTATCAAAGTAAGCACAATTCGGATAGATCTAAACTTAGGTCACTGTGCTATGACTGGCTCCTTGGGGAAGGATAAGCCACCGCGATGGTAATCACGAAGTTTCATGAGTGTTTGGAACAAAAGATGTCCTTTGTTGAGAGAGGGGTACTGGCAGTGTTCCTCATTTGACAGTATAAGGCTGGTAAACCTATCACACTCATCAAAATGCTTGCGCA